TGCCAAACACTGCAGTTCTTTTGAATGGCCTGTTGAGGTTGGCTCCAGAAGTGAGTCGATCCCCATAGACCCCCATAATAAAATGCCAAACTTTACAGCAGAAATAAACATGTTAACAGACAGTTTTGGTCTCTGTAGGTAATTTCAATATTTGTGACAACTGTACTGGGATGAATTTTCACATAACTCACCTGTTTACATTTTATTAAGGCTTAAAGTTACGCATATTTTAGGGCGAGCCCACTAGAGTGACAGGCTGCCGGCAAGGAGTCAGATCCACCCCTTGCTCCTCCAACCTCTCATCCAAATATGGCCACTTCTGGCTCCAAAAAATCAAGATGCTGACGGCCAAAATTGCTGCACTCGAGCCTTCAAAATGGCAGTCCACAAACCAATGGGTGATGCGTCTAGTATTTTATACAGTCTATGATCTCGTACTGTCACGAGCACAAGCCTGTCATCCATGATAACATTCACAACGCTCCTTCTGCGCTGTGATATGATAGGCGGATGTAGTCTTGTAGAAACAAAATAGTTCCTACATGAAACTATTCACAACATGATCTGTGGATTATCTTGAGTAACCAGGTCGTGATTTCTGGAAAGAGCTGTTGAGTTTTTCAAATGTATTTTCGATGCCTTGTGCACCACAAGCCGAGTGCCATGTAGTTCCATTATACTGGAGAGAAGGCAGACATCTCTACAGCCGATATCTCCAATAATCAGCAACTCACACCAAAACAATCTGAACTGATAAATAGCACCACTGGTAGGAGGAGAAATATGTGTTTTTGATTTTGGGGTAAACTGCCCCTTTAATTTACAGTAAACAGCAAATGCTGACTAATTAAATTTTGATAACGTGAGACACATTTGAGCTTGTAAGTCAGAGTTATGGTGAGCTTTGTTTGGTGAGAGTGCATGTGCATGGCAGGAAGTTGGTCTGCCTATCCAGCAGCTGCCACCATGTAACCTGAGAAGACAAACAAATTGCCTACAAGGAAGTCTGTCTTCTGCCAACTGGACCCAAAGCCTATCTTGAACTTTAAAAGCTACATGGCCCTGATGCCTGTGGCTAAATTTTTTTATTCATTTTAAGTGGTCCAAACAGTCAGTCAGCCAAAGAGAAAAGTCAGCAGTAAAATTCAGGTGCTTTCCATATAGCGCTTGTGTAACCCCTCGAACACCACCTGACAGGGACCAGAGCAGAGGCACTGCTTTCTGGGTCGACTTTTTTTGCAATCGCTCCTCTCCCTAAAACACAGGAACTGCCAATCTGCAAATTATCTGATCCTCCTGACATCCTCTGTGGTCTTTGCACCAGTGTTTGCTGTTGTTTTGTCAATCTGCAACGCAGATAAAATGGGTCATTAGAAAATTTAGTGTTTTATTGTACTGAAAGTTATGAGTCATCAGAGACAAGCATTTTAACAAGTGGTTGGTGTCAGCAGTGATTTTGCCTCCTCTTAAAACGAAAGTTAGTTGCATACCGTCTGAGCCTTTTCATACAAAAAGAGGCGAGTCAGGGCCTGTCTCTGAAACAGTCCTACACCGAGACAAAAGTGACCACCTGTGGAAACCACCTACCATACACAATACATGATACAAGTTGCACGCTGTATTATGTAATGTGACCCGTCTTAGATTATTATCAGTGGATGATATCATAACTGTCTGATGACTCATAACTTTTGGTAGAATAAAACATTAAATTTCCTGATGATCCATTTTAGCTGGGTTGTCGATAGACAAAACCACAGCGAACGCTGGCTCAAACACCACCTCGAGTCACGTTTTCAAGCTGTACTAAAAGAAGGTTGTCTCTGGCAGGTAATTTTATGTCTGATGATCCCTCTCGCATTTATTTTATCACACAGAAGATTTAGAGTCCCACAAGCTTGATTGGACAGGTTGAGGCACACTCGTGTGCTGTGGCTCTGCACCTCTGAGAAACAAACCATACATACATAAGAGTCCTGGGTCTCTATTTAAAGTGGACTTTGATATTTGTAAATTTAAGAGAGCTGTGGAGATTTCTCTGCCTGATTTAGGGAAGTCGTTTAGCATCCCAGATAGCTGCATCACAGGCACAGAGGCACACCCAAGAAATGTTGTGAAATTACTGTACAATAAACTGTAGCATTGGCTGTGATGAATAGACGACATCTGAACTGAGCTCTGTGATTCAGAATAGGGTAGTTTTATCGTAACAGTTGGCGGCTGTGGCTCAGAGGTGGAGCAGGTCGTCTACCAATCAGAAGATTGGCAGTTGGAGCCCCAGCTCCTTCAGTCCGCATGTTGAGGTATCCTTGGGCAAGATACTGAACCCCAAGTTGTGTGAGTGCATTTATAGTTTAACTTAAAGTTGCTGTCTTGTAAGCTGTACTGTCTAAAAACACATGTGATTGGATGTTCCAGAACACGTTGGAGCAACTTAGTGGTGGTACAGTTCCTTTATTATATGTTATCATATGCATCTTAATTGCTGCTGAGGATAGTAAATACTTGGCTGGACATGGCTTGAATGTTTAGATGTGTTGTAGGGCTGTCTCAGATACCAGTTTTTGGCCATTGAAGCTTCATTGAGAGTTGAGAGATGACGAGACTGGAGACAAGAGGACATTTCTTAGAAACATCAGGCGGCACGGTGGTGCAGTGGTTAGCATTGTTGCCTCACAGCAAGAGGTTCCTTGTTCGAACCCAGGGTGGGGGAGCCTTCTGCGTGGAGTTTGCATGTTTGTCCCCAAGTCAGCGTGGGTTTTCTCGGGGTACTCCGGCTTCCTCCCACAGTCCAAAGACATGCATGTTAATTGGTGACTCTAAATTGCCCTCAAGTGTGAATGGTTGTCTGTCTCTGTGTGTCAGCCCTGTGATAGTCTGGTGACCTGTCCAGGGGGTACCCCACCTGTCACCCAATATCAGCTTTGTTAGCATGCAGGTCACAGTAAATTAGGCATAATAGCTAGAAAAAATTTGCAACGGTTTGACGGTTTAGCTGATACTTAGTTTTCAGATGATTTGCCAAGTCCGTTCTAGAGTTTTGATGTGCCAGCTTCCTTTAGCATATCTTGCACTTAAATTTCAGGGGGCGTCTTTGTAAATTTTGAAACTATTCCAGATGCTTGGCTTTTGACATCTTGCTACCGTACCTGTAAACCTGTCACAGATGGTCAAATTGTTGTAGTCACAATAGTAGGCCTATCACTACGTTTAAATGTTCTTGTCTGAGAATAATTGTGTTGGATCACTATATATTGATTCATGGGCTATTTGGGATTTTGGGGTGAAGGTATAGAAAGACAGAGCATTCGAATACTGATTTGGACATGGGTTACCGTTGCGGACGAAGCATTGAAGCTTTCAGCTAAGCCCTACTGTGTTCTGATTGTCAGTATAGTATACTGCATGTGAACAGTAAGTGATGACATCATAGCTGCTCTAAAATAATACCCGTGAGTTGAGGTAAGACAAGGTCATTTTATTTGGATAGCACATTGTAATACACAGAAACTTATTGTGCTTTAACTGCAACGTGTAACATGTACAGAAAAATAAAGACAAAGAAAGTGAAACAATCACAAAATTGTAAAAAAAAAAACCACCTAAAACCCACATCCACCTTAGAGACATAAACCACACACACATGCAGAGAGGCCATCAACAAGCCTGACAAACAAACTGTTTTCATTTTGCAACTGATTATGAGTAAGTTGCTTCACGAACGTGTCTCTTTTGCTTTTGACCCGTGTCTGATGATCTGTTGTGAAGACCTCTTTACACTGAGACTTTACAATAAGATGCACACATCGTCAGCATTTATTGAATCTAACTGGTGCAGTGCTCGTTCAAAATGTTCCTGTTCGGATGGGGTTGATTGCTTGGCCTGTGGTATTGCTGCTGGCAGCTTTGTTGAGAACTGCTCACATACGCAACTTCACACTTGACACTGAACTTCCTGAGCAACACATCTCAGCTCCAAACAGCTTTTGTTTTATTGTGATTTAGATATGAAAAGTATTGAATCACATTGCTATTTTAACTGTGCCCCAACGTAACAAACAGAAGGCCCTTGACGCATTAGAAAGAAAATATGCAACTCAGGCTACTTACTTACAGTGAGGAAGAACTTTGTACCACTACGTTTTACTGGTTACACTGCAGATTTAGATTTTGCTCACAAAATATCACAATAAAACATTAAAATATCCAGAATTATACTAGAACTGAAAGCTCATCTTTGAACAGACTTTAATTAAATGTAAGCACATTGGACTGCTAATGCCTCTTTGTCACTTCTACTTCAAAGGAAGACACTATAGCCTACTGACAGAAAAATGTTACTGGTCACGTCACTCAAGCACATCACATTCCTTATACATTTAAGAGAACAATGAGAGCAACCTCATGTTTACAGTGACATTTAGCTATGAGGAAACTCGCCAACTTGCCAACACGTGCCAAATCCTCATCTAATGCTGTCTGTGACAGTCATTATGTAATGACTCTGGTGGAAACTCAAATGCAGAGAACACACAGGAGGCAGAGTAGGGTAAAAAAAAAAAAAAAGCATGGACTTTACTTCAGTGCAAAAAGGTAATAACAAAACTGACGAGGAGGCAAAAAAATCCTTGAAACCAAACGGGCTAAGTTACAAACTGGTCCAGGAAATCAAACAAAGAGATTGCTAGAAAGGGGTGGGTATATATACAGGGATGGCTGAGAGGATAATCAGGGGCAGGTGAGTAAGTGGCAGCAGGTGCGATGAAAGGCGGGAAAACTGCAATAACACAAAAGTTAGTTAGTACTTCAAAATAAAACAGGAAATATAACAAAGTCCAGAGTGTTACACATTAGCCACTGCTAATCAAGAAGTTCCCATCAGTTCAATGCAATACTCAGGCTACTTAAATGCTGCATGATGCTTTCAGTCTTCATGCATCAACATGTTGGCAATATTTTTAATTTCATTTTTGTGTATGTGCGTGTGTGTGTCCTGTCAGGTGCCAAGATGCAGGACGTCAGTCAGGACCCGTTTCTCTGTTTGGGAGATCTACCAGGTTTGTATTGTTCGAGTTTGGATTACTTGTTCGACTGTAAAAAAGGCTGAATGGCTCAACATGAATCAAAACATTGACTTCATGGAAAGTTACTGCTTTTACCTCATCGTATCCAAAAAATATGAGGCAGACCGTGTTGAAGCCTACTGAATGAAACAGAACTACACTGCAAGTGCAAAACTGATAAGCATCAAAGCTACAGCAGGTAACTTCTGTGAAAATAAATTTAGTCATATTGATGAAACTGTCACTGTATCCACACAGTATAACACGAGACAGATATTTATGTTCCTCCTCCTCCTTCAAGTGCTCCTCTGCTCCTCTATCACCACATTCTGTCATTTCCTAGTGGAAGTGACAGAATATGGTGGTAGATGTGTTCTTGTTTCTCTTGAGAGGCCACAGTGTTTGAACAGTTGTCGTTTTATTGTGGATTTTTGTATTATTTGTTGTATTTGTTGGGTTTTAAATGTGTTTTGACGGGTTGCTACCAATCTCAATGGGACTTCCTGGTTAAATAAAGGTTAAACAAATCAAATAAAAGTTACCAGCTGTAGCTTTAAAGGAAATTTAGTGAATTTAATATAATATTATTGATTGAACTGAGCTACTGTTGCTTTGAATACAGCCATAGAGATGTTAACTGATGAAAAAAATCAATTTTAATGGGCATGTTTAACATGATCATATCACAAAAAGATGGTCTAGAATCTGGGCTGGTTGAAGGTGAAAATAGTGTACATTCACACATTACTGGTATTCTATACACTGGGTTCATTTGTCTACACTAAAGGACAAGATAAAGACGACAATTGTAGTGCCCTACAATTGTAGTCAGAAAAAGCTGATAGATATTGTTCTCTACCTGTGTAACTGCATCCTGATCATTCACCTTCAAGTGTGCAACTTGTTATAACGTCCATTTATCAGAACTGTTTTAGCTGCATATCTAAGTCAGTCTTAAAGAAGCTCAGATAGCCGGTAAGACTTGTAGCAGCTGGACCTTGAGCTTGTTGTGCTCCTCCTCTTCATTCAGAGATGTTGCTCAGTAGGAAGAGGTGCCAAAACCCTCTGAACTGTTTGAGACGCCTATCTTGATTCAGAAGTTCTCGTACGCCTCAAAAACATAACCGAGACTTTAGGAAAGCAGCCAAAAAAACAGACGTGCACACCTTAAACTGTCCTTAGCAAATATGAGCAGAGATGGGAAAGCAAATGGTTGCAAATGCTTTGTCTAATAAATGCTCATTGTTTGTGTTTTAGATGATTTATCGGAATTCCTGAATGATGATTACCTTGGGAAGTTTGTGGGTAAGTTGCAACCAAACTTCCGCACACATTCAGTGTATCAAATGGCTTACACATGAGCACACATATTCAAGTATGAATGCAAAGGTAATCTTTTGTCTAATTGCCTCCTTTCTTAGACACAGGAGCGCTCTTTGACGATCCCTGTCTCAACTGTGAGGAAGAACTCATCACCTGCTGTAAGAGGCTCTTGTTGCAGATGTTGACACAAACAGGCAATACATGAGAGTAAAGGAGGAAAAATAAAGGGGCTTAAGCTTTAAAAAAAAACTTTACTAGATAGTACAATCAGGGGCTGGGCAGGAAATATGTTATACTCCATATAACATATTTCCCTATTTGATATAATTACAATGCTATATGGCCATTTTGTGTAGTAATGTCATCTCAGCAAATGTGCAAGACCAGTTTGTGGCAAAGAGGAAGGTTTTAAACTCAACACTTTTCTACATATTGGGTTTTAAAAAGGTCAGTAGAAAAGAAAAATATATATTTGGTGCCAAAAAAATTGAGACATTCTGCAGCGGCGTCTATAAGACCCCAAACACCAAGAAAGTGAAACCAATGGATAAAAAACACAAGGGTTAGGAACCATTTTTCTGAGTTTTATCTTGTCTACCATTTCCTTCAAAATCTTCAAGATGTTTGGGGAAACGTGTTGCTGCTTTGATTTTCAGTTCACTACCGAAATGCATGAGAGCCATTTTTGGTTATTGTGTCCGTTAGCTGCTTCACTGACTCTTTTACTTCCTCTTTCGTGCACTTTAGGTGATCTTCCCCCGCCAATGGAGCTGCCCGGCTTTGACAGCCTTCAGCAGATACAGGAGGACAAAGTTACAAGCACAACAAACACCAGGAGAAAAAGATCCAGAGGTATAAAACCGTCGCTAAGTAGAACTAGAATTGGTGAAAACTCTCCTGGTCACCTCTTCGTCATGTAACACTTAATTTTTGGAATGCAGCCACAAAATTCTGTAAGCCTGAATTAATGTGTGGGTTTTAACTGTAACTTTACACTTTACATCTTCTGTTTATATTTTTCATCTCCAGCTTCCCGATCACAGCCACGCACTGATGAGAACACACCATCTAGGCCGAAAAGGCAGAAAAGAGCAGGTGACCGACCCTGACTGTGTTTGGTTTCTGTCTGTTGAGTATTCATGACGTGGCTTCAAATGTGGGACACTGTGAAATATATAACCAGAGCAGTGTCATGTCTGCCAAAAGCAAATTACCTAGCTAATGTTTTATCATTTTGGAAACCACCCTCTTTTGTTTGGCAGTCTCAGTGTTTTGTCAACAGTTTCAGGGAGCCACTGCTTTCATTCATGTATATATCAAATCATGTGGCGTTTTTTTTTGTCACACAGTGGACATTACTATTAGGAAATGATGCAGTCCAATGAAATCCATCCATCTCTTTTCTGTAGCTTGTCCAAGCTGGGTTCACCCTGGACAGGTCACCAGACTAATATCAGGGCCAACACATAGCAACAGACAACCATTCACGCTCACATTCACACAGGGAACTTAGAGTCAACAATTAACCTAACCTGCATGTCTTTGGACTGTGGGTAAACCCCTCCAAAAAACAAGTTGACATGGAGACAAACTCCACACAGAATGGATTCAAGCTGAGATGCAAGGTCGACCCCAATGAAATCAGGCTGTACAGAAATCAGTGTAAACCAATGGCTGCCTTGAATGCTAAGATGCTAACAAAATTTGTAGTTAAAGGGACAATTCACCCCCAAATCATTACAATCTACATCTTACACTGTCACAAGCACAAGCCTCTCGTCCATGAGTAGATGCACAGTCACTTCTGCACAGTGATATGGTTGGTAGTTGTGGTTTGGTAGAAAGAAAATAGTTACGACATGAAACTGCTCGCAGCAAGGTCTGTGGATTATCTTGAGTAACTGGGTCATGATTTCTGGAAAGAGACATTGCTGTTGAGTATTTCAAATGTATTTTTTTTAGTACTTTAAACACCACAAGCTGAGTGCCATCTAGTTCCATTATATTGAAGAGAAAACAGACATCTCTATGGCTGATATCTCCAACACTCAGCAACTCCCAGAAAAACAGCCTAGACTGTTAAATAGTGCTACAGGTGAGAGGAAAAATATGTACTTTTGATTTTGGGGTGAACTGTCCCTTTAAGGAGCTTAAACTTGCAAACACAATGGTGTGTTCCTTTAAATAATTCTGGTGGGTCTGGGCTTCTTTTGTGGCTGCCTTCCTGTGAGGTTAGCCAAGAATCATACTGTAATGTTTACAACCCTTCAACTCTTGCAGGTCGACCAAAAACCGAAGAGCCACAGGCTGAGCTGACTGTCACTCAAGGTACGTTTCTCATGTTCCTACTGTAAACTGAAGCAATACTTAGGGGAAGAGATAGACCCTGTAAGTTTTGTTTTAACATTTTAAAGGAGCATTAAAAATATATTATATAATATATTAATGTTATAAATATCAACTGAATAGCTTTTGCAATGCACAGTGCAAGGCTATGTCATATGAACACTATGCACATGAGAGTTCTCTATGTGAGTAAAATGACATTTTACAAACAGGGCAAACCACGTGAGGCTACAGTAGTAACATATGACTCATGGTTTAAGGGAATGTTGGTTGGTTATGGTTGACTCGGTTCCTTCGTGGCACAAGGATGCAGATTGAGAAACAGGAAGTTTAATTTTGAAGTCGTCAGATAAGTCATCACACCGTGAACCAAAAGAAGAACTCTGTCCTCACTTGACTCGATTCTATTTTCAAATCTTCTAAGTCTGCTCAAATGAAAGTCGCAGGCATGACACAAAATCTTTGGGTCCTAATCTCTTGTAATTCCCTTGGAAGCAAACCTATCTGCATGTTTTCCTTTACCATCCTTTGTTTTTGATTCACCCAAGGTCAACAAAACCTGTGGGCACAGACAGATGAGGGTTGTTGTCTGTGTTTCTTTTGCAGACGCTGACACAGGGTCAGAGCTGAGTTCACCAGAGACGGCGGCCCCCCCATCCACTCCCCCAAGAATCCTTCATCTCCATCCCTCCATTCAGTTCATCACCATCCCAGACAATCCGGGATATCAGGTTGTTCAGACACTGAGTCTCTCTCCTCCAGTTATTACACTTCCACTCCCCAACACAGCTGCTGCGCCTACTTACATTTTAGGTGAGTAAAGTATTCACATACACTGATTAACCAGTTTCAGTGCAGTAGCGCTGGGAAACATCCCGTCTTTTTTTGTTGACATTGTGTGAGAGAGGAGTTGATTGTGAAGAGGAAATGAAAATTCAGTTGGTATGCAGTTGCCCTGAAAACTGGATTATCAAGCTTCCTCTAAGAAGTGTAGCTTAAATAGGGGTGTAATTAGCAACCGCTGAACTATTTCCTGTTTGAAGCGACTGAAAAAGTTTTCTAGCAACTACTTTTCATGTTCATCTAGATACTTGTTATCCACAAAAATTTCAGTCCTAGTCCCACTGAATATTATGCTGTGTTTGAGTCAGTTAAGCATGTCCTAGGTCAGTGGTTTCCAACTGGTGGGTCGCAGTCCAAAAGTGGGCCACTGGTCCATTTGAAAGGGACTGCAAGTGACTTGCAAATGTGTCAAGCTTAAAAGTTCAGTGAATTTCCGGCACAATTTAGGTGCTGGTTTTTGTTGTAGAGTGAGTGACTAATGGACAGCTACTTGACAGGGACAGCAAACTAGCTTGACGATATGGCCAAATGCCAGTATGACGCTGAATATATTAAGCAGTAAGGACATTGAACTAATGACCGAGGAGAAATCTAGACCCGTGGCTGGACCAGTTGGGAACCATGTCCTAGACAGACTGGAACCACATTGTCTCCATTAGAAGTTATGTATCTGGTAGGATGTGGAGTCTCCCAGGGCTCAGTCCTAGGTCCTCTTTTGTTTGAAACCCCCACACCTTTGCCCAAAATGAATTTCTGAATTTGGCGACTGGTTCTGACCACGCGTGCATGTTAGTGCATGCGTGTACTGGCTAGCATTCACCACTACTTTGCACTGAGCTCACATGGAAGTTACCACTGTTATTGGGACTGTGTCATTGTGGAAGCATAGTGCCCACCCTTACATTCCCCCCTGGTTAACACGGTTAGCTCTGTCAGCACTGTTGCTGTTGTTTGGTGCCATTTATGGAGTTAGCACCTTTAGCAACTAGCCGCTAGCTCAGCCTCCTTCCATGTTGAGAACCATGTCTGGAAAACTTATAGGCTTTGAATTTCACATAGAGCTCCTTTAAATTAATACTAAATGACTCTTTTACAATGTAATGTATTCTGTGCACTATAAAGCACTTTGTTTATGAAACATGTTAAACTTATTAACTTGCCTTGCCCCTTTTTTTATCCAGTTCCTGCTGCTTCACCACCCTTCAAACGCCAAGTGCCACCCCTCTCCCCGAGTGAGTAAAGAACTCTTTAATCTTGGATGTACATGTGCGTGTCTGCCTGTCTCTACTTCTTGTGCACATATGCAAAGATCCCATTCTGTCAGTTTTGTGTAGTTTATACTCCCACATGTATAGTTTTATTTCTGTCTTTTAAGAAACAAAATGGAAACCTCTCTGTACTGACTGCCGTGTGTGAGAATTCAGGGTATTGATTGTTCTCCCTTTGTGTTTTTAGTTGACGGTGCAGTTGCACCAGTCCAGATGAGTTCATCCCCATTAGGATCTCTGTCGGAAACCGCTAGCAAAGCCATGTCTCCCACTTGTACCTCACCCCAGTCTCCTAGCATTGGTGAGTTTCAGTATCTCTCTTTTCTCCCTGTGTGTAAATTACTGTGTGGAGTTACTGTCATCTTACAAAAAACTTGACATGCTGAATTTCAGAGATGTCTGCATGTAAGGAGTCACCCCTTCCTCAGTCTCCCACTGTCACTGACATTCCACGTAAGTTACCACATGCTTTAATTCCTCTTTTCTGCTTTGATGTAAAATTTCTCAAAAACACAAATCATGTTTTGTGGATAAGCAGGTTCACAAACAATTGTGTTTCTTTTTCAGAAGTTGTAAAGGACTACATCCAGGAAGCCAAAGCCCATATGAGTCAAACCTGCCAGGATATGGAGGCAGGCCTTAGCCTGACCTCTCATTATGTGGATGTGCCAGTGAGCCAGAGAGAGACTCGCTCTGGAAAAAGCACAAACAAAACCCTGGATAAGGAGCTTATCATCATGGGAGACACTGATCGGCAAAAGACCTTGCTGGGGCCGAGTCAGGTAACACTTTCACTTTAATGGGATGGATAAACAGTTATCATGTAGTGCTTTCTAAACATAGCCAAATTCAATACTATACAATGTATCCTCATACAACAGCTTGTATGATATCCTACAAATTTGCACCCCATGAATAACATTATGTGCTTAATGTAAAGTTGCAAAGGTTAGGTTAAGTCAAGTAAAGTTACTGTAGTTAGGTCAAGCTCCCAGGAACATCGCTCAGCATTGCTTCCAGTTTTTCCCAGTGGCCACTTGTGGTATCACAGCAAATAAAATCCTGTGTGGCCCAAAACCATTATAAAGAGACATCTGTAAAACAGTTGACAGGACACCTTTAACTGCAACAAGTTCAGTTATGACTCTTTCTAAAATAAATTCTGATCCATGGAGGTTTCATATTTGTAAAACTTTCCTTGAGCTGAGAAAAATGATTATAAATCTGGGACATCTGAAACATGATGATGATGTACATTAAAATGCCTCAGAGTTTACTGAAAGTTCACACGTTTCCGAACACCAGTGTCCTGGGGAAAGTCCCGTGTTTTGTGGCCCATCCACCACCCCTAACTGCCCCCTTACAAGACCCCTTCTGTCTTTACCTTCCCAAAGACGTGGGTTATACACAAATTAGTGTCTCATGATGATGTGGGATATGTATGAAATACGTACAAACAGTGCATGAGAACAGCCTATACTGTAAAGTATGAAAGTTTTGATTTGTTTATATCCAAAACATTGCTGAAATCATTGGCTGCAACTCACTGGTATCCATATGTTTGTCTTTATCCACCTAGATCTTCGAAGGCTCAAATGGAGACAAACCCAAACGCTACATAGCGCTACTTGGCAATGCTGGTATGGGAAAAACCACCCTGATCAGGAAGCTGTGTCTCGACTGGTCCAGGGACTGCATCCCACAGTTTGACTTTGTCTTCTTATTAGATGGAAAATCACTCTCTTTAACAGAGGCGACCTTTAGCCTTAAGACCCTCCTCCTAAACCTCTCCTCCTTTGCTCCTTCCTGCATGGACCCCGAGGCAGTGTACACTCAGATCCTCGCAGCCCCTAAGCGCGTGCTGATCATTTTTGATGGGTTTGGCGAGTTGCGGGACTTTGAAACTCTTCTCCAGACTCAGGAAAAAGACATTATAGCATCATTGCAGAAAGACAGTAAAGCACAGAACTTCACAGTAAGACATTTATACTCTGGCATCCTTCAGAGGATCCTCCTTCCAGGCTGCACTCTTCTGCTCTCGACACGGCCAAAAGGCACTGCCACCCAGCTACTCCGGCGGACAGACAGCATTTTGGAGGTGTGTGGCTTCAGTCCCACAGACGTAGAGACATATTTGTCTCAGTACTTCACTGATCCTGACCTCAGAGCATCTGCTTTGCACTGCTTAAAAAATTGCAGCTATCTCCACCTCCTCTGCTGGAACCCTGGACTGTGTCGGTTAGTCTGCTTGGTTTTAGAACAGTGCAGAAGTTCAGAGGACCTCCCGAGAACTTTAACTGGACTCTGCCATCAAGTGCTTCGTCTGATAATGGAAATGGACAGAAAGAGCATGCACTCACAGGCTGAATCTCAGTCAGAAACATCTATGCAAACAGAAGAAGAAGCCCAGACAGAAATCTCAAGTAGTTCTCAAGCAAAAACGCAGCACAAAAACACTCGGAGAAAGTCCAGAGCACAAGTTCGCCCTGGCTCGCGCACCCAACGAGCAAGGAGGACAAAAGAACAGGACAAAGAGGAAGATGATGGCGATGGGGAGGGGATGAGGAGTGCTGGAGAGGAAGCAGACAGAACAGAGGAGAAAGAGTTGCTGTCCCAGCTGAGTTCTTTGGCCTGGGAGTCAGTCAAAGCAAACACCTGCACCCTCCCCACAGGACGAACCATATCAGCCAAACTCAAGGCGTTTGGCCACAGGACAGGGCTTTTCTTCTCTTGCCACCTGAGGGCGGGGCAGGTTGTCGCAAGTGGTGAGACAGAGGGAGGGGGAAGAGAGGATAGTGAAGAAATGGGAACTGGAAAGAAAGGAAAAAAGGGGACAGTCTCTGAACATGCTGACACTAGTGATGACCACATCCTGTTGTGGGCCAATCCTTTTCTTCAGAGTTACCTGGCAGGGGTGCATTTGTCTCTATCAAGGTAAAAGTTTCTTGATTCATCAGAGTAAAATAGTCTTCCTCTATGTTTTCTATTAGAATTATTTGGATAAAAAGATTAAATGAAAAGTGGTTGATTGAGTGTTAAGCTTTTAAGCTGGCATAGTATCTTCTATGTCCTTTGTTTAAAAATGAAAGAGCACATCTTTTTCCACTCCCAGCCTCTTTTCTCTTTCACTTTCAGTGCTCTACCCTCTCTGAATTTCCCTGACTCTTTCCCACTTTCTGTTTCCTCAGGACTATAACAGACCGTGCCTTTCATCCAACCCTCCCTTTCCAGTCAGGCCAGAAGGGACGTCGGAGACCCCAAAGGGAGGAGCTTGAGCTCACTCAGCGATTTGCAGTCGGACTCCTGTTCCACGACAGAACAGAGCTGCGGAGGCTTCACTCACACACAGAGAAAACCTTCAGAGATATGGTCACCGCCAAGCAGGCTTTAGTAACAAAACACCTTGAGGGTCTTTCCTACAGTGACCTGAGCCCCGCCCAGGTCCTGGAAGCATGTCACTATGTGTATGAGGCGAACTCCACGCATGGTGATGGTAACAGAGACAGTGGCAGCACACAATTAGTTGCCCACCTGGCAGCAAATCTTCCGGAAGTTCTGACATTTCGTGGAGTTCCACTTAAGCCGTCGGACGTGTTCGCTGTGCAGCATGTTCTCGAAAAGGGTGGAACTGAAGGTAGAAGGTTCTGTTTGGATCTGGAGGATTCGGGGATACAGATTTCTGGACTCAGAGCTCTCGTAGGGCTCCACAACATCAACACATACAGGTATACAATTAAGTTTGTAAAACCCCTTCCCCAAACAGTGATTGTCCAATCATAGCTTAACAACCCTAATAAGTGCTCAGTTCAAAGAGAGCTCTATGATACTAATCCATTGAAACCAATATCAACCCTTGGGTGTCTTCTAGGGCATGCATTGCTGATGTCATCACCTTATGGGAGCAGTTAGAGCAGAGTGGTGAAGAAGGTCTCCTACAGGAGACGGTGTCCAAATTCAAGATCCATCCTCTGAAAGCCACACAGGTGTGTCACATAGAGCACCTGGCAAAGCTGGTGAACATACATGTGCACAAGAGGCTGTCAGACAGGTAATACAACCCGCCACCTTCCCACACACACATGCAGATAAACTGCAACATACAGACTGTGTGTGTCTGGCCTCTGATGTGTGTGTGTTTGCTTTTAGTTCCAGCCAATCAGATTCAATCCTGGCAGAGGGAATACCAGCCGTCAAAGAGCTACGCAAGCTGGAGTTTGAGTGAGTAGATCTGACATTTGACCAGTGTTGGGGTCATTACTTCAAAAAGTAATCTATTACTTCACTTAATCACTCCCTGTAGAAAACTATGCTGGTTAGATTACTTCTGCAGCACTCGGCAACATCGCCTGAGATGCATTGTTACGTATTGCCAATTGATAATATGATGTTAAACCTTACATTTGCCCACATATAGGCACAAAACAAGGCTCAATAGGAGAGTCAATATGGCACTGCAGTAGGCTGTAACTACCTACACCACCTAGTATAAATCTTAATTGCCTCAAAATAACACATCAAGAGGCCTAAACAAGGTAATACAGGAGACTGGCCTTCTAACACCATTAGATGACAATGGACTAAAATGGCGTACAAACTGTTTTTAAGGGGTCAAACATACTCCAATGAACTCACTCAGTTTGCTCGTTCACAAACCATGGTTTCATAGCAGATATGTCCAGTTTATTTGACATATTTATCACTAAAGCAGTGGTTATACCTCATGAGGAAGAGTCTCTCAAGTCGTTTGTCAGACAACCTGTTCCTTCTCGGAGTCAGCACTGTACGGCATCGCTGTTGTCGTCACGTTTAATGAGCTTTTCCTATCCACCCATGCAGATGATTAATTAACTTATGTAACGTAATTAGTAACAACATTGATTAGGAACTGTAATGTGATTACTGAATTTAGGAAGAGTACATTTGAGTAGAATTGATGATTACAATGACAATAATGACTTTATCTTTCTGTCTAGGCTTGGTCCAGAGAAAGGTCCACTTGCTCTTCTCAAGCTGTGGGGGCTCCTGCCTGATCTACAAAACCTCCAGCACTTAGAGTAAATATACACCCCTTTACTTTTAGTTCTTCTAGTGCATTTGTGCGTTTGTCTCAAATGTCTGATGGTTGCTCTCCTTCTCCTTCAGTCTAGAAAACAGCAAGATAGGTGACAAAGGAGCAGAGAAACTGGCCGATGCTTTAGTCTCACTCTGTTCTCTGGAGATACTCAAGTGAGTACACTGTGTTCCTTTCTCAACCTGTGCAACATAGTCTTTATGTATAGAATGTGTGTTTAGCAAAGTGTGACCTCTCTCCTTCCGGTTTCTAGTGTGTCACAGAACTGTATCGGAGACCAGGGGATGAAGAGACTGGCAACCACACTGAGGGATCTGCCCAAACTGCACTGTTTAAGGTATATTACACACACACACACACACACACACACACAGGTATATATACAAATACCTACACAACACCACCCACTGTGGTACATACTGTAGACCCACATAATTTCACTTCCCTATCCCCTCCCTGTGTTTGTTCCAGTCTCTACAGTAACGTGATTTCTGATGAAGGGGCAGAGAGTTTAGCAGCTGTCCTCCCACACATGGCTTCGCTCACTGACCTGGAGTAAGACCTTACATATATATGTCATTAGAATTCACATGTATGATTTCTGTGTGTACGTGTGTGTTTTAATGGCGTGCTGTCCTCATATCTGATACCTCTTTGTTTATTCAACTGAAAATGCTCTGTGGTATCTGTACTTTGCACTGGATATCGTTTTCATTAAACTATGGACAGAAATTGAAACACACACATCAAATGAGGAACCACTGAAATAAAATTAGACACAAGTAAATGTTGATCAGGTGATCTTTAGTGAGTAATACGTTGGGGTGACATTTAAAGTGTAAATTGTTTTCTGTTTGGCAGTGTGAAGTACAACAAGCTAACAGACGTTGGCGCACAAAGCTTGGCAGCCAGTCTGAGAAACTGTAAGAAAATGAAAACACTGAGGTAAGAAAACATGTGTGTGTAACCACCTCGCCCCTCTCCTTTTGGGCAAAATATTTCACTGCTCCACAACCAAAACCAAAACCAGAGCATTGTTATCTCACTTCCTTCCCTGTCATGCCATATTACATCACAATATTTTGTCCATCTCATCCCATCACAGGATGTGGAACCAGTGTATTCCATACGGAGTGTTTGAGAGGCTTCAACACCAGGACAGCCGGATCCAGTCCTGGCAGTAGAGCCACATGAAACCTCCTTACCAAAATGAACTTTTTATCATGCGTCTCAAACATACATGTTTACACTACACAATACATTTTCTAAAACATTTATGTTGAAGAAAAAGGAACAAAGTGAAAGCGTGAGAAAGTGAAAGTGCACTAAAAGAAACTAAAAATGAAGTTCTTTGCTGCTTTAGTCAACATTTGATCTTGCCAGAGTCTTCCAAAGATCCCACTTAGTGCCACAGGGAAGTAATTCATCCTTCAGCATTACACAGTGTTGCATGTGTGCACTGTGTGAGTGTGTTGTAATTCTTGGTACAATTTCAAGAAGCTCATTTGCACTATGATATGTGACTTTATGTTGGTTGGTCTTTTTGTTACGCTGTTTTTATCAAATGTCTGCTACCATGTGTTGTTTTTGTGACATGAACAGTATTTTTGTTTGCACTTCTCTCTGTTGGCTGTTAATGAAACATTGCTTAACAATCACCTGGCACTTTATTTTACATAAAATGTCTCATCTTGTCACCATCGTTTTCTTTCCTCTTTTTTTTACCGCTTGTCATTTGACATGTTCACTGAAGTTATTGTTTTTTTTAATAACTTCTTTCCCAACAGGTTTCTGTTCTCTGTTTTCATCCAGCCTGACCTTTATCGTGTTTTGGTGTTTGCCACTGTGCGTAATTGACCATATCACTTTATCTGCATTAAGCCATTATTTTCCACCAATAGTTTGCTGACTCTACAGGGGAGGCCAGACTTTCCCCTATTGTGATATCTTGGTAGAATAAGGGGAACAACTCATCTTTACTGACAACATAAATACTTTGTTTTTACTTGTCGTGTTCCTCAAAGGAAAATTTTGGTATTTATGATTCTAGACCTGTATTCCCATGTGTTTGTGTCTAAAGTACTATTCGGACGGGATTAGTTTTACATAGGGATGTGGACTAATGTCAGTTTACCACAGGATGTCTGTAATATAAATGTCCGATTAGCACGGGACAAAAAATCTCCTTAATTCTACCAAAGATGGAAGTGGTGACTCGGTTTGCGCCCTGGCATCACCTCCCTGTCGGCATGTGTGTGCTATGTTGCTTCCTGTATGTGTTATATTTAGCTGAAGGATAATAATAATCAATGATTAGCCTAATATGAAATATTGCCCATGATCAGGATTGTGTGTACACAGTGTGCTTTCTTCTCGACCTTTTTGATTGGTCTCCCATGTAGGGCTATGCGATCATTAGAAGAATGTCCACTATTACAACTGCCGACGACACCGAATGCATCTTCAAGCGCCTCCATCATCGAAAAACGCAGTAAAATGGTTGTAAACAGGACGTGACGAAATATTTACATACATTTTTACAGAGGATCACGTTTGCACGGGATTAATATTACCCGAGGTATTTTCTCCGGACCGTTTTACAGAAGGTAAAAGTCAGACAGACATGGCACATTTGGACAGGACTAAAATCCCTGGTAATAATTACTTTACCCCACGTCTCCAGGTTAAACTAATCCCGTCCAAATAGGGCTTAAGTGACTAATGGAGACAGCCATTTTATGCTTCCACACCAGCGATGGCCATGGCTAGAGGCATTATGTTTTCATGTTGTCCATCTGTCTGTACATCTCATTCTCATAAATGCTATATCTCAAGAACACCTTCAGGGAATTTCTTCAAATTTGGCACAAACGTCCATTTTGATTAAACAACGAGCTGATCAGATTATTAGATTTTGGTTGTCAAAGGTCAATGACACTGTGACCTTGCATCTGTTTAACTCTTGTAAACGCTATAATTTAAGAAAGCCTCGAAAGAATTTCCTCAAATTTGGCACAAACATCCACTTAGACTCAAGGATGAACTGCTAAGAACTTGGTGGTCAAAGGTGAAGGTCACTGTGACGTAACAAATATGTTTTTGGCCTTAAATAAAGAATTCATACACTAATTATGACAATATTTCACACAAATGCCTAATAAGATACAATTATGAAGTAATAACAGTTTATATTCAAAAGGTCAAAGGTCAACTTTAATGCAAAAACACTAGCAGTCACAGCAGTGTAACAGGCTTCAATGTAATCCTTACGGCTACAGGCAATTATACACAGTCAATTTACATCCATTAAAAGTGCTTGCCAACTTGCTTAGACTGTGATTATCAGTGTCTGACAATGTTACGGAAAAGACCCTACAGAGAAATTAACCGTTTTTTTCTTGGTTAAAAAAACCCCCAAAGTTTCCATTTAAGGTGACCTCTGATCTTCAGACTGCGGTTCTTAGCGTAAAGTCCATGCTAAAAAAAAAGTGTGAGGTGTGCACCTTGAAAGACATAGACAGGAACAAGGCAGATGTTGAGTTGCCTTATGGGAAATGAAGGAGCCAGTGTTATGGGGGCTTGACCCAAAAGTCAGGATATCGAGGCTCTAACGCATTTCATTTTGCCAATTCTTTTCCTAAGCTGTTTCTTGTCAGTTCTCCAACATTATGGAAGTGGACTATGGCAGTGCTTTAAAAGTAAAATTAAACAAAAGTAAATACTGAATCACTATAGAGCTCAAATATCAGAGAATCACAGGTATCTCCCACAAGTTTAGACATTTGGACCAGGTTCCACCAGACCTCTGAACCATCATCCACATCTCTAATTTGATTACTACTTTGACTGGGCATTTTAATTATTTGCATGCCATCACGCACATCATAGATATGAAACTCTCAACATACAGTGGCTTCCTCTTTTGTATTTTTAGTTTTTATCTTAGACAAGTTATTGAGTTCAGAAGGAAGGATACAAGTGGCAGATGCTCCGTAGGTTGGTACTAGAAGTCTTCAATATATGCACTTGCTTTTATGAACCCTCTAGGAATATAATTACAGTTCTAATTCAGTCAATGAAGACATATTTGGTTGATGTGTAAATCAACCAAGCTGCACTTGAATCTGAATAAAAAGAAAATACAAATTGATTAAATTATTTTTTCTATATTTCACTGTCTGTGAAGTACTGCCATGCTCAGGTTAAATTTTGGTATACTTCCTGGCTGCATCACAATAATCTCAAATATCACATGTGAACTTTCCAACCCTCTCTTCAGTCAGAAACAGCAGGTGGCTGTGGTGCATCAGATCAGGACACATAACGTGGTGTCAGTTGTCGATCACAGACATTTTACTGAAACACCTGCCATGCTCTGGAGATTCTAAATACATTTAAAGACCAGAGCACCACTGATGTGTCACAAATTTCCATTGTCAAGCACCACTGACATCAAAGCACTCCAACAATGTCCTGCTGTTGTTGACTGGTGCACTGATGCTCTCTTGTGGACAAAATGTAAAGTGACACCAAAAGAGCACATGGTAACAAGTAAACAGTCTGAGATCAACACAGCAAGATAATCAGTAAGCACACATCTGAAATGACAGTTCAAGTAAGAGGCAAACAAGTTGGCATTCGCTCAAATTTTATTAAATACACATTGGAAAATAAAACTCTGTTACGATCCATAGCTTATTATAGCATGTGCATGTCTGCAAAGAAGCAGATGTGGAGGGATGACACGAGCACTGGGTAAAGGCTGTATGATGATGATGTGTCACAGTCCTTTCGGAGTCTAATGGGGTTTCCACTTAAACTAAGATGCTGTGAACAGAGTTGATCAGAACCTGACCAGCACAGTGTGGTATCATGCCTGGGAAATGGCACAAACAGTCTCATACCTGCAACTTAACACCAGTGATATAACAGTTTAAATACAAAACATGGATCCTCCCCATCAAACAGCTTCACTTGCAAAATGATTTTTAGAATATGGGGGGCGACTTTAATATTTGAATTACTCAACTCATCATATGGGCATCTGCGTGTTGAAGGGATAGTGTGGATCTTTTGAATTCATAGTCAGTGTATTACATACAGTAGATGTCAGTCGGCATGCCACCAGTTTGGAGAAGCAGGCTGGAGTCTGACATGGAAGCTAAGCAATGTACTGCTGTAGACATCTTTTAGTAACCTTAAATGAAATATCACTTAAAGTGCGCACTATATTTGGAGTATTTTGACAGCTTTACTTTATGTTAAACAGTGATTGCAAGCGTGGAAATGAAGTTGTTATATCGCTCTCATCAAAGCCAGACTACATTGAGAAAAGAGGCGATTTAACATCACTGAACACAGGAGCTACTGGTCTACCACTGCCTTTGTTAGTTAGTTAGTTTTTATTATTGTGTGACTTTGGCTTTAAAAGGATTGGTTTGGATTCACTGAAGTCACACAATTGCACAAACAAACTAACTGACAGAGGCAGGGATAGGCCAGCAGCTCCTGTAATCAGCGATCCAAAATAACTGTTTTTGTCAATGGAGTCTGGTGGCTTTGATGCTGTTTACCGCTTACCCATCAGACCAGGCTGTCTAATGGAAAGGTAAAGTAAAGCAATCAAAATGTTCTTAATATGATGTACACTTAAGCTGTTACGTACTTTTTTAGGTGGCTAAAATATGTTTTGCTGCTGGCCCCCATCCACAGCAGTGCATTGCTTCGGTTCCGTGTCGATACTCCTGCTGCTTCTCCAAACTGGGGGCATGCTGACAGACATGTACTGTATGCAATACACTGACTATTGATAAGCACTCCGTACAGCCCCACTTTAAAAAATCCAAACTACCCCTTTAATGCTCTCCACCTCCAGCATAATGCGGTTTGATTACACATGATTCACTGTTCATCAACAGCAAGCCCTTTCCTGTTATTGATCGCATGATTGTTTGATCAAATTCCACACAAACATGTTTAACAATACTTAATGAATATTAGTATCCTGAGCTTTAGTGTCGCGAGATCTAAGTGCTGTTTCAGATGGACTTTTGTCCTGCCCAAAACAGACACACTGATTCATTCAAATGCACAAACAATCTGATCCAAACACTGTAAATGTCACCACAATATATTGCTTACAGGCAGCTTCAATCCAAATGGAAGAAAGAATCTGGTTATCAGCCATGATTAATCAATACTGGCTGAACTCTGAAAAACAGTCTTGCAAGGCATACGAAGTCTCCGAAGTTTCCTGCTAAACTTTGACACAATTATTTTTTAACATCCCTGTTCTTGAGTTTGAGTATGGCCTTTTCTGGACAACTATCTGGTTATATTCAGTGAGCCATCTTGATGAAAGGTTGTCCCGCAGAATGTTACGTTTAAAACACTGACAGTCAGGCAATGAAATCCTGGACTAAAGCTTAATTAGAGTATGAAACGTGCATGTGCACCACATCGCAATGATTATTTTGCACAATTTGCTTATTCTGGTAGATGCTGAATGCTGTGAGAATACACTGGTTCCTCTGCACTGCCTCCAAAATCAACGTTAAGTTAATCAGCTTGGCTTTAGGTGCTCTTAACAGACCTACAGTATGTACAGTACTTTCAAGGCTTACAAATAGCTAGTAAATCAAGTGAACGATCCCTTTAGAGGCGCTTTGCTTCCACCCATCCACAGCCACACTTAACC